CTGTGCTCATATGCAGGATGCCACGAGTTCACATGCAAAGGTCCTCGAACTGTCCAATGGGAGGGGACTTCTTTGGAGGTATCCTTGAAATGACAGCTTGGGCCTGGTGGACGCTTTAATCTGCAGCTCCCCAACATTTCTGTTTACTGCAGATTACGCTGTAGTCGGTGCCTCTCCAAATTACCCGAATTCCGGCTGAGAAGGGGGGTTGACTTTGGGGTTCTCTCAAGGGGGGGGCCGTCGACACACCTCAGGGTTTACTTCTTACCAGGCAAATAAGTTTAAGTGCAGAGTGTCTGCAGCACATATCCTCATATTCTGCGAGAAAAACACTTAATCCCCTCTTTATGATAAGCTGTCGGGGAGCTCGGACTGTCTGCTGAGGGACCACAGACCCACCAACAACAGGATTTAAGGTTACAAAGCCACCTCAAATTAAATTAAGCACAGTGGCCTTCTAAATCTTACAGCTCATATGCACTCTAAAAAAATGGAAAATGAGTGGCTGTGGATTAAATGGCTGCTTCTAAAGACACGAGACCCAAGAAAGCATCGTAAATCATCTTCCACCTCCTCCTCCTCCTCTTCTACAATATTGCATGGCCTGATCACAATCATATTTCCCAGCATGCCTCAGCAGGGTGCCCTCAAATATCCCAGAAGCTCCCCATTTCTGCCATGTCTGCTTCACAGACAGTCGTAAAAATCAGCGCAGGCTTCTGAAGGAGCACTCCAGGTCAGGTCTGGCCCACCAGCTGAACAGCTGAGTCCAACACACTGCTGTCTCACCCCCCCCCCCCTCTCTTCAGCACCCCTCAAACTCAATGGTGGTCTCCTCCTCTGAGCCTGTTCACACTAAGATTTGGTGCATGTGTTCCTTGACATTAAACAGATCACTGTGTCCGTTCCAATCCACAAGACAGAAATTGAAGAAATGTGAACTGCTTGTAGCCTCGCGACGATGACATTTTAACGAGCTGCATGACGAGAGTGAAAGAGATATTTTAAATCCACTCTAAGAGGGATGGAAGGAGCGTAACGTTCACATATTCATTTTCTTACATGACAGTAAACTTCCTCTCCAGACTGAGAGATAATCGCTGTTAGAAATCTGTAGGTTGATGTTATCAATATATTGTGATTTTTTACACAGCTGCTCACAATTTCATCAGTTTACTGATTTACAAATCTTTGACTTTTCATTCCTTCTTCCAGATGAGCGCCTCACCTAACTCCTGAAGAACAAGCTCAGAGAGGTCAAATAGTTTAGAGGTGAAGAAAGGAGCGCCAGAGATCAGCTGGTTTTGTCTGAACCATGAACACTGAAGGATCACTTTGACACTCGCTTCGTTCACTTTTAGCCTCTTGTAATGTTGTTCCAGTTCTGCTTTTGCGTGCGTTGACGGATCGAGAAATAAAGGTGAAGATTGGACGGTCAACACGTGCATCCACTCTGTTTTCCCAGCTGATGATAAGAATCTCTTGACTTTATTTTACTACTCATTATGAATCCATGCTGGGATCTTAAACATCTCTGAAGCATCACTACTTGCAGAATGATGATTTTCATATCAACATCTTGTATGAGACATATTGATATCTAAAACAACCTCCCGTTAAGTGTTGGAATGATAAGCAGCAGTTGGTCTGTGTAGATATTTGACGTGTGTGTGCATGTGTGTGGCTTCACCTCTGACACTGGAGGATTAACAGAAAGATCTGAGTGTTTGACCCGGCTGCTGTGCATGGCCGGCTGTAGTTTTCCCATCATTGTTGTGGAGCAGAAAGGCCCCGGTGTCTGGAATGGTCGCCCTCTGTCTCTGTGACAATGCTTTAGTATCCACACACACTACAGTAATGGCCGCTGGTACAAAGACCTTTTGACGCTGTGGGGGGAACTGCATCACTCCCCGCCTGCATTCTGCGTCCACTTCTCCCTCTGACTGCCTGCCACTGCAGCAGCAGCCCCTCCCCTCTCTCATTCAGCCCCTCTTTCTCTAAAGTGTCTGTGTGTGCATGTGTGTGTGTGTGCGCTCATGCTTGGCTAATTGACATTAAGATCTATGAGCTGGGATGCGCATTGGGTACCTGGGAGTGAAAAGGTTTGAATGAGACCAAGGAGCAGAGAGAAGAGAGATTAGAGACGAGGAGAAGAAGAGGCAGAGAGCAGTGGAGAAGGAGGTAGTGTAGGGCTGCACAATAAATCACATTTTCAACACAACTACTGTATGAACATACATAAAAAAAAACTCTTCTCTAAAAAGGTCTGACAAAAACGCCCAGAGACAAACATTTTATCTCCACATGGAAACTTCTAAGTGATCAGATGTAGCCCTTGATAAACGAGCCACACATTCAAATCACATCAAGCCCCCGCGAGCTGTTCCAAACACTCAGATGAGTTTGGTGGAGGCTGTGAGATTAGCTTGCATGTTGGCTGGCTAATCCATCGAGTTACAGAAGGAAAGAGGAGCGAGAAAACTGTGGATGAGGACGACCTTCGGGTAAAAATTAGCAGCACTAATAGATGCAGGAAACAGATAAACTACATGCTAAACAGGAGGAAGATATTCAACTGTTAATGCACGCTTACATGTCCCATTTTGACAAAAAACTAAAACCACCAGGAGATCTCGTCCAGCAGCACTGTAGGGATGTTATAGAGATATCATACGGCTCTAGATTACTCCCCTCCCCTCACACACACACACACTTGGAGAAAACACCCTGTACTAGCAACACAGATGTGCTGTTTCAACACCTAATTACTACTGTGCTGTAGCTCACACAGCAGGAGAGAGGAGAGGAGAGGAGAGGAGAGGAGAGGAGAGGAGAGGAGAGGAGATTAAAGAGAGATAGGAGGAGAAAGGAAGCAGGGAGGGGAGATCCGCTCAGTTTTGTTGGATGCACATGGTTGCTGCTCCTCGTTTTGTGCGAGGCTCCGACGCACATGCTGCCCATGCATAATGCAAACCAGTCCAGCAGCGATCAGGTGGCAGGGTCTCGTAGAGGGAGGGGACCCCCTCTGCACCACATGCACCAAGAACAACGTCTCTCCCCACGAGGGTTAGCCCGCACGCTGCTGCTGCAGCCACCACACCCCCTCCTCGACCCCATCATCCTGCACTCTCCTCCTCTCCTTGTCCACTCTCTCCTCCTCTCTCTCCCCTTGCTCTCTCTCTCTCTCTCTCCTGTCACTGCACAGAAAGCGCTCTGAGGATTTTCTGCCATGAGATAGCGGTGGCAGGATGATGATTGAGAGGAGGAGAGAGTTGATTTTGAGCCCCTTTAATGAGGGCTTTCCTCTGATCAAAGCTTTAGGAGGTGTACGGAGAGCGGAGTACAAATCATTACTGTAAAAGCAGACTGGACGAGGATGGAGAGGATAATCTATCCACCATGACTCGGTGGCTCTTGGAGATGCTAAGATTAGATATCTACATCCACACATTCTTGTTGTGGCTGTAGCGCGAGCAGCTTAAGACTCATTGAGACGCCCGAGGCTCTGCAGATCCACTCTGTGACAGTGGACAGACCGGACCTGAAGCATGCAGGATGGAGAGCTGCAGGCATGCATGTGGCTATACTTCAGTGTACACATTGTCCTGCTTCAATTAGCCACACCTCCCTTCTGCCACAGGCTACTGAATAAAATGATAGGCTACACCTCCTTTATCAGATTCAGTCATCTTAATGTTGGCTCATTAAAAACACTTCGGCAGATAATGGAGTCAAAAGATTGAATCAAAGATTTCTGCCACCAAAGTGACTCTCTAACCAGGACAGCATCTCCTTATATAGAACAGCCCACTCTCCACATGAGCACGCTTTCCTCCATTCTCCATCCTGCAGCATTATCTTTAACCCTTTCAGTGCCGAGGTTTAAAGCCCAAGAAGCCTTAACAAGCAGCTCTGATGCAGCTTCTAGTTATCAAATCGTCCTCAAACAAAGGTGAAGAGAAGCTGTTGTCCTGTAGTTCAATATGAAACTCTCATATTTGTGCACTTTCACTTAATTTAGTAGAATTATCCTTTTTTTTTTAACTAAGTTTAATCTGGGGCGCAGACATATTCAGCAATTAAATCTTTTCCTCACATTAAAGGAATAAAAATACATATTCTGCTTCACATCTGATTTTTGTTTGAATGTATTTCAGTAAATCGTGTTCACAGTGAATTCAACTGTTCAATTAGTGGGCTCAAAAAACGAAATCTTACCAATTTAACACACCTCAAAAGTATCTACAATTAAAACAATCACACCATGACCTCATCAGAATCAAACGGCTCAAATAAACTCATAAATCACATTTTTAAACACTCACTGCACTCTGAAAATAAGATCTGCTCTGTGTCACACATAATGGGAATACACTTGAGGAGGATTAACACCACACACACACACACACACACACACACACACACACACACACACACACACACACACACACAGCGAAATGTTTGACTAAATCTCTCCCAGAACTAATGACCTATTCCTCACAGTGACACACTCCCTCTCTCTCGCTATCTCTCATTTTGCAGTCTCTTATACTGACACCACACACACAGTTACTCTCTCTCTCACTCACACACACACACACACACACACACACACACACTCGCTCAGTCAGCGCGAGAGCTTGCAGCCAGGTTTGAGGATGATGGAGAGTTGATCTCCTTAATTGATCGATCTGCAATTATCCTGCAGCCCCGGGTTAAAATCATTACTGTCAGCCGTTTTTTTCTCGAGTGTTAGCAGACATTTGGGTTATCTTGTTTTAAAGTGAGCACAACACACACAGTCTTTAACAGTAAAATAAAAGCCCCTAACATGCTTGTGTCCACTGCGCTTTGGAGAAACCCATTGTTCCGCCTCCTTCAGCTGAGGTGTGCAGTCCGCTTCACACCTCTCCAGCGCGTAAGAATGAATAAATGTGCTCCTCTTCATGTGTCAAATATTCTGATCTAATCAAAAAAGAAGAGAAAGAGAGGTGTCTTACCGGCCACTGTGTATCTATCCATGTAATTGAGGACGTTTCCAAAGCTGAGGATCCCAGCAGCAGCAGCCGGTGAGCGGCATTTGAGCAGCGCGGCGCGGAATTTGTGGCCCGGCTTGCACGGGTGCAGGTCCGGGTTGGATTTCAGTCCGGGACTCATGCTGCCGGACAGCGTGCGCACCTCGTCCAAACTGCTGCAGCCTTCAATCTCGCACCCGTCTCTGTCCACGCACATTTTCTTGCACGAAAGATCCAGCGCAGGTATTACAGTAAACCAAAAATAAAAGAAAGAGAAGACAGATCAAATGGAGAGGAGAGGAGTTGTAGAAGGAGCGGACTGAGCGCTGGGCTGTGATTGAAGGAGGAATTAGTCGCAGTGGGATTGTTGTCTCAAGTGTTGAAGCGCAGGAGCGGCTCTGCTCGGGTTCATATTTTTGTAGCAGTGCGCGGCGGTGACGGACAGACTGTGCGCTACTCCGTATGTTTTTTTTTTATTCTTCTGGAGGACCTGGTGCTATAGTGCAGGGGGTGTGACCTCGCGGTGAAACTCCTCCTCCCGTGAAGCCCTGCAGCGAATGATGAGAGCCGCACCTGATACTGGAGCTGCAGTGAGCGAGTGTGTGGATCGCGGTTGGAAAAGCCTTTCTGTTATTTAAAGAAGCTGGCAGTGGTGGAAAATGGGTGGGTGGGTGTGACTTCATTTATTTATATATTTATCAGTCCACATTGATCACAATTGTAAGGCTGCTTAAAGAGAAATGAACACTGTTATTACATAGAAATAGGTCACTTGTAGGACTAGTGGCACATTTATTCCCCTCTGCTGTTTTATTTTTAGTAAAGGTCCCAAACATTTCTTTGAATTTGTCTTTATTAGTAGATTTATTCTCTCTGTAAAGCTGCTGACATGTGATCCCTACTGTTTCTTGTTCCCTGAGTGATTCCTCGCAGGTTCAGATCAGACAACAGCATGCTTGTAAGTTTTTTTTTTTCTTCAGGAAGAATTCAGGTCGATGCATCTATTTATAGAGCAAAACATTATGTTCATCAAAGTGCATCCAAGAGAGACGATATTGTGAGAGATTGTTTGATTGACATTTGCAGAAAAGGAAACAGATTTACATGTATAAAAATGGGTCAAAACGAACAGAACCACAGGAGGGCTAATGAATCAAACTAATCTCTGATCAGAGTGTGAGCAGTCAGTGAGGAGTGGAGGGGTCAGCTGATCAGAGCTGTTTGGAGGTAGAGTAAGGAGTGCTGATATAACCTGATGTAACCTCCATGCTCTGATTTTTATCACTAAATAAAATAATCTTAACATCAATCCTGAATTTAACAGACCAGAACAGTAGAGATATGATCGCTCTTATTCATATCAATGCATTGTTGTGCTACTTCAGTTTGAAACATGGAAGATAAAGCTGTCAATAAAAACAACATTGGTGACGGGTCATTGGATTGATTATTTTATAGAGAGTCGAAGAGATGTGATACGATATAATCCAATACGATATAGTATATATACCTCACCATACCATACAGTACGGTACAGGGGTGCGGCATGGCACACCAGGGCATGGTGCATCGAGTTATGGTAGAAGTAGGGTACGATACAATACACAACAATCTAGAATACGATTCAGTATGATGCAATCAGATGGGAGTCAATATAACACAGCATGAAAATATTCCATCTTATTTCTCATGTGAGAGGAAATAACAGGCTATATTAAACAATTCTCGAACAGACAGGAAGGACTTTAATGTTGTAGGTGATCAAAGATAAGGGACCCTGAGTTCATCTGATCATTACACTTTGATCCAGATTCACTGATAACACTGACAGTTTGATCTGAGGCCGTTAACATTCAGTGACTGAGGTGTTGCTGTAAAGATTAACGGCACATTAAGTGTTGACAAAGACCTACCTGGACCCTGTAACAGTCTGGTGTACTGCTGGTTTTCATTTCCCTAAAGAGGACAGACTGTAAGCATTGTCATTGATCGCCGCATGATGATTGAAACCTCATCCTTTGTTTTCTGAGAACTTCTCCTGAATGGATGATTAATCTGTGAAACAGAAGTGTTTAAGGGTAGACTTTATGACACGTCATAATCATCATGTGGACCGGGTTGCATGATTCCTTACATAACTTATCACGCTGCATACAAAGTGTATTAAACCTCATGTTGTGTGGTGAGTTAGGAGAAGAATCTGTTGTTTAGATGAATTACAGTACAGGATTAGACTGCTTTTATGATAAATTGGTTTTGGTCAGGTGTGCAGGAACTTATTCTTTCAAGACGTGTGGGAATGAAATGTGAAATCTTACTTCAGTGGAACTCACCTGTCTCCGGGCTTTCCTGCCAAAACCAAAGGACTTCCCCTGCAGTGACGTTGAAATTCAATAGAAACTGAAGGAAACCACTAGAGTAGCTCAGACTGCGGGAATTTTAAAATGTTTCCCTATTTTGAAATCTTGTAACATCACACACATCAGCAGAATCTGAACAGATCTTCTTCTCCATAATCTCAAGTAATCGGCCGATATCTTTCTTTGATCTATGATTGATCTGTAGAGATAGATAGATATAGATATAAATATTTATTGTGTTGATCCCTCAAAGGCAGATATCAAACACTTGTGAAAAAGATAAATCAAGAAGACAAGATTTTCACTCAACTGGAAAGTAATGGTGCATGAATGTACATGCATCAACGCTTGACACTCTGGAGAGTGAAGATGCGTGCTGTAATCCATATAGCGCCCTCTGCTGGTGAAAGAGAACTGCTAGTGTAATACAATGAAATTCAAAGGAAAATGTTATTTGACTGGTGAATAAATCGAGTAATCCCAGCGCATAACTGCAATCAAATTAGCCGATACTGATAATCACTGGATATTCTAATATTCAGATATTATTGGTTGGCTGATTAATCAGTCGGGCTCTACTCACACTACAAGATATGAAAACTTCAGGATTTTACTAAGATTATCGTGCCCGGTAGAGGAGATCTTTAATGGGACGTCTTTGTATGAGATGAGCTGTGGTAGTATCACTGCGGTTGTAATATCATAGTGTGACTGAAAAAGAAGACAATCCGTTTTTGAATGGTTGGGAAATGTCCAATCCTGCATGCAGACGAGAGCTACATCATCTGTGTTCTGTCAGAAAAGAGCCAAAACATCTCCAGCTAATTGTTCCGCTGTTCCACTGTGTACACACACACTATTCGGACTTTGCCAAGACTGGAATCCAACATTGTCTCCAACATGATCACAGAAAAAGGAGTGAATGTAAATCTGAAGCAAGAGGGAACTGGACCAGAAAGGTGTGAGGACGGGCAAAAACGCAGATATGTTGTTGATTTGGCACAAGCACAGAGTCTGACGATGAGTTTAAAAAAAGCGGGCGTTTTAAGGGCCTCTTCAGATTTCTCTAAAAGCCTGAGGTGACATTATTATTCAAAATATTCCTAAAATGGCTGTTCCCTCTCACAGCAGCCTCAGGTTGGGATGCTGTTATAAAGTTTTACAAAGCAGCTGCTGTGTCTCTGTTTAAAAATCCCATCAACAAAGAATCTGACAAACTTTAATCGTTGCACAGCTGTTGATCACCAACTGAAGAGGCAGCCGAATTCCTGAGGGACGTTAGGCCATAATTGGTAAAAAGAGACATATTTCATAAATCCTTTTTGACCAAAAGGGATAGCCTTTAATCAAGTTGTAACGTACATTATCATTTTATGGTACACAATCAAGCCCCCGGAAGTGTGCCAACGGCTTAAAGAGCCCATATTATGCCCTTTTTGGGGTTCGTATATTTAATCTATGTACTTACTTTTGTACGTTCACAATAGCTAAAGTCTGAAAAAAGTGTCTGTTTTCATGTACTGCTCCTCCTTGCTCCCTCTACGCTTTGAGTTTGTCAGCTACGCTCTGCTGAGCCCACACTGCAGAGCCCCACGTGGGCCAAGTCTGCTCTGATTGGTCTGCCAATCCGCTCTGTCGTTATTGGTCAGTTGCTCAGCACGGTTCTCGGAAATGTCCCGCCTCTTTTACCATATTGGGAATGCAGCCACTGGCTCCGTCCGAGTGGAGCATAAACATTAGCACCTTAGCACTGCTGTGCTACCGCAGGCTACGGCATATCGTGGGCGTGCTACAGAAGTTAACGGGTGTGCAACATGAGCTGCAGGGCTTGCCACTTAGATCAGTGATCTCACACTGACAATGACGTCGGACTGACAAATTTTTATCAAGGTGGCTAATGCTACAGCTAACAGGAGGACATAGGAGAAGTTGAATTTTTGCACATAGATGTGCCTAAACATGTACAGGACACTTGGAAAACACACAAAAGAGCATATAAAACCAGAAAAAGCATAATATGGGACCTTTAAGCCATTTTAACATGGTGGCCAAACCTGGTACTGCAGCTGTGATGTCATTGGGCCCAAAACGATTTTTTCCCCATAAGCTCATATTGGGGAAGAGTCGTCTATAAAACTGTGGAAATGTTTTTTTAGAGGCACATTAACTTACTGATACGAACACTTAAATAACCCTTTAAAAATCATCAGGTCTTAAAAGTTGTAAATGTAGTTAAAGCCAAGTTCAGAGATATTACAAGTGAGCATGCTCTATGGGCCCAGTAACGTGGAAGGTCTGGCTACTTTTACACATAGAAGTCAGACTTTTTGTCTTCATTCACCACTGAGCAGCTTTAATTGGAAATAACAAGGCTCCACCTCTAGTACTGTGATCCAATCTATAATGCATCCATGTATGGTGTAGATTCCTAGCAAAAGTTAAGTTACCTTACTAATATCACATCAGCTAGCCAATGGTGATGTAAGCTAGCAAACTTTTGTTAACTTACAACAATTTAAGCCAGCTAACAGATATGTTAGCTTACAAATAATAATGCTAGCAAGGAGCTAGCTAAAAGATACGTAAGATAGCTTACAGTTGGGCTAAGAAGCAGTAATGTAAGCTAGCTATCATTAAGGCTGTGTCCAAAACTGCATATTTTTATAGTATATCTATATATATATATATATCTAAATATGATGTCATATTGAGTATAGTACGATCTGAAATCCTATACTATGCATTTTTTGTGTATTCCAAATGCTGTTTGTATTCTAGTTTTTCAGCACATATGTTTTTGAATCATACTAAACCGCCCCAAAATGCATTGCGGCTCTCAGACTATCCAATGGCGGAGCACCATGCGACCAGCCAACTTGCGGCATTAAATTAAAGGAACTAACTACTGTAATTCATCTGGTCAAATAAAAATGAACTATATCGATGACTATGTAGCTAGCCTGTATTGTTTTATGAAGACTGAAATGAGAGCATTCTGTTTGTAAAAACCTAAAGCCGCTGATGGCATTTGTTTCTCTGAGCTACTTCTGAGGCAATCAACCAATTTCCTCCCAATGACTTTGAAGTCAGAAATCCTCTCGGTTTAAATCTGGAAAGCATGATGCAAACAGTGCAGCCTGGCAGCCTCGGCAGAAAATGATCAAGTGATACTGACAAGAATTCCTTTTGTAATGCTGCACACTGACATCCAGGATAAGAGGATGCAGGAAA